TACAAGACGAGATACAGAGTTACCATTGGAGCAAGAGTCAATGTTCTCTTCATCCAGTTGTCATCTACTACAAGAAAGTGAAATTGGAAATATCTTCTTTTTGTGTAATTTCCGATGATTTGAGTTATGATGTTGGATTTATCAATGAAGTTATGCATAAAACTATTAATCATATAAAAACTCATCTTTGTCCCGCAATTACAAAAATTCATTATTTTTCTGATGGCTGTGCAGGGCAGTATAAAAATTGCAAACATTTTTACAATTTATGTCACCATGCTCAAGATTTTTCTGTTCAGTGCATCTGTTCTTTGCAACAAGCCATGGCAAATCTCCATGTGATGGAATAGGTGGCACTGTTAAAAGGCTTGTTTCAACTGCTAGCTTGCAGAGTCCAACAACAGGTCAAATACTATCTTCTCAAGCAATGCTTGAATACTGCCAAAAGTCAATCAGTGGGATTACGTTTGTGTATGTCACTGACAAAGAAATGCAGCTAGTAAGAATCAAACTTGCTGATAGACTATTAATAGCAACCACTATTCCTGGGACAAGAAGTTTCCATCAATTTATACCTTCTTCTCATTCAATTATAAAAATGAAAAGGGTATCCGATGATGATGATTTTGCTCTAACATTTGACTTCCTCAATAAACAAAAATACAAAATTAATAAAATTGAGAATGTTATGTGACAATACCTATTTTGCAAATACAACAATTTTTACTGGCTTGGAATGGTTTCTGAAGTTGATAAAGAGAATGACGATTTTATGGTAAAGTTTATGCATCTAAATTATCCAAGTCGGTCATACTACTGGCCAAAGTGGGATAATAATTGCTGGGTGCCAAGAATGAATGTCATTTCTCTTGTTAAAACACCGTCAACATCTTCTGGGCGTCAGTACCACATCACAAAAGAAGACGAAACTCATTTTCTTGTCGATGAAAGTTGATGAATATTTTACTTTCATTATTTAAATTATATAAACTTCAATTTTAGTCATATTTAGTTTATTAAATCTCTTTTTATTTAAAGAAAATCCAAGAGGTGACTAAAATGAATGTCCCAGTTTTACATGGAATGACCCATATATATATATATATATATATATATATATATATATATATATATATATATATATATATATATATATATATATATATATATATATATATATATATATATATATATATATATATATATATATATATATATGTATAATATATATATATATATATATATATATATATATATATATATATATATAGTATAATATATATATATATATATATATATATATATATATATATATATATATATATATATATATATATATATATATATATATATATATATATATATATATAGTATAATTTTTATTTATTTTTTTCTTTAGTCCTTAAATAAAAAAAATTATTAATTAAAGTTAAAAAATCAAATTATTAAAAAATTAAATTAAATTATTAATTAAAGAAATAGTTTTGTTCATTATTTCTTGTTTTCATCTTCAATTTTCCTCATTTGCTTTCTGATATTGGATTTCTGACAGAAGAAATGATTTAATTTCTTTTGTGTACATTACTACGAAAAATTGTAAAGTTTTTTTTTGTTAATTCAAAGTTCATTTTTGTTAATATCTTTTAAATGTGCTTATTTGTAAAAAAATTGTTGGAAGTTGTTACTTTACTTAAAAAGGTTTCGCTTAGTCTATATAATAAAGAAAAAACATGTTATTTTTGTTCATAAGTCAGTCATCGTTTTTGTGAATCGCTATAATCTGGTAACAAAGCAGACAGGACACTACTAGTTTTACATTATAAAAACATTAGTTGAGATTCAAAGTTATTTATTTCAAACGTAATTATCTTATTGTTTATTATTTATTTTAGTTAAGTTTTGTTTTTATTTTATTTATTTTTGTTTTAGTTATTTATTACTAAGTTTTAGTTATTTATTACTGCATAGCTCATTGATTAGGAGGCTGTGCTCTATCTATGAATGAGTCTAGTTCTCATTAAACCCAAATCATGACCAAAGTAACCAAAAATTTAAAACCTAAAAAACCATCCCCACCACCTAAATATTTATCTTTTACAAATATTCGCGGTCTACAAAGCAACTTTCCATCAGTTGAGTCTTACCTACTGCAAAATTCACCAGACTTGCTTGCACTCAGTGAAACAAATTTAAGTTCTGCAATTCCTTCTTCAGATGTCAGTGTTGATGGGTACTATCCTTTGATTCGTAAAGACTCCAATAGTCACATGCTAGGTTTAGGGGTATACATACGCATTAATTCCCCTATTTGTCGTGAAATCAGGTTCGAATCCTTCGACTATTCTTTTATGTGCTTTCGCCTAGCACCTCTTCACTCTATCACCTTTCTCTTTGTTCTTTATCATTCTCCTTCTTCCCATGATTGCACTCTTTTAGATGTTATCTCTGATCAAATTGACCATGCCCTCTCTCTTTACCCCTCTGCCAATATTGTTGTTGTTGGTGATTTTAATGCCCATCACACTGAATGGCTTGGCTCTAACACCACTGATCCTGCTGGCACTAAAGCCTTTAACTTCTGCGTTTCTCAAACTCTTACTCAGATAGTTAACTTTGTGACTCGTTTTCCTGACAACCCTAATCATTTACCTTCGCTCCTTGACTTATGTCTTGTCTCTGACTGTTCTCCTTCTTGTGCGGCTGCTATATCCAATCGTAATCATTTTTTTCATCTTTTTTAAAAGAATAACTCTCTTGAGAACAAACGGCTATTTATTATTGCAAGAAATCGATGTAAAAAGGTGCTTTCTGATGCTAAACTCCATTATTCTCAGTTCACTAAATCTCGCATCTTATCGCAGAAGTTAGGTTCTAAAGACTTTTGGAAAATCTTCAACAGCATTGTTAACAAGGGTAGATCTAACTTTCCATCTCTCATTCATGGGACTGATCTTATTACCTCTCCCAAGGATAAGGCAGAACTATTTGAAAAGAACTTTTCTTCTAATTCCACTCTTGAATCTTATGGACATTCTCTTCCTTCCGTTCCAGTCAAACAGGTTGACCCATTGTTAGACATTCAAATCACTCCGGCTTCTGTTGCTAAAGTCATATCTCAATAAAACTCGTCTACAGCTTGTGGTCCAGACAACATTCCTGTCACAGTCTTGCAGAATTGTTTTCCAGAACTTTCTTCAATTCTCTCCAAACTATTTAACAAGTGTTTGACTGAGTCTTGTTTTCCTGCTTGTTGGAAAATGGCATCTGTGGTTCCAATATTCAAAAACTCCGGAGAAAATTCTGACCCCTCCAATTATCGTCCGATCAGTCTTCTTTCTGTTATTAGCAAGGTCTTTGAGTCTTTGATCAACAAATTCCTCACATCTCATCTTGAGTCAAATAAACTGCTGTCAGACAATCAATATGGTTTTCGATCCTCTCGCTCTACGGCCGACTTGCTAACTGCTGTAACTGAAAGATTTTATCGTGCATTAGATGGAGGCGGTGAGGCTAGGGCTATTGCTCTCGACATATCTAAAGCTTTCGACAAAGTTTGGCATGCTGGTCTTCTCCATAAGCTTGCTTCATATGGTGTTTCTGGGAAAGTTTTTGAGATTATCAAATCATTTCTTTCTGACCGGTTTATTAAAGTCATCCTTGAAGGCCAACACTCTTCTATATTTCCAGTAACTTCTGGGGTTCCCCAAGGTTCCATCCTGGGCCCTGTTTTGTTTCTTATCTACATAAACGATCTTCCTGACAACTTTTCATCTAAAGTAGCTCTTTTTGCTGATGACTCAACTTTATACTCCTGTCTTGACAAAAAGTCTTCTCTTTTTGATCGCCTAGAACAAGCAGCTGATCTTGAATCTGATCTCACTTCAGTAATAGATTGGGGTTCACAGTGGCTTGTGAATTTCAACTCTAAAAAAACCCAATTGCTTACTGCAAACAACTACCGTAATATGGTCAACATTCCTATATTAATGAATGGCAATCCTCTTGCTGAGTCCTCCTCTCTACGTCTTCTTGGATTATCGCTTACTACTGACCTTTCATGGAAACCATATATACAATTGATTGCTAAATTAGCTTCTGCTAAGGTTGCTTCTCTTTATCGTGCTCGCCATTTCCTTACTTCTGATTCCATACTCTACCTCTACAAATCTCTTATTCGTCCCTGTATGGAATACTGTTGTCATATTTGGGCTGGTTCTTCTAACAATTCACTTTCTCTTCTTGACAAGGTCCAAAAACGCATTGTAAATGTTGTTGGACCTGGACTATCTGCTAAGCTTGAACCTCTTTCCCATCGTCGTAAAGTTGCATCTCTTTCTCTTTTCTACAGATACTATCATGGTCACTGCTCAAAGGAGTTATCATCTTTAGTTCCATCAACTAAAATTCATTCTCGTTTTACTCGTCATTCAGCTAAGTCTCATTCGTTTACTGTATCTGTCCCTGCATGCTCTAAAAACTTTTATTCATCTAGTTTTTTTCCCCGCACTTCAATCCTTTGGAACTCTCTCCCATCTTCATGTTTTCCTGACTCATACAACCTTCAACTTTTCAAGTCTTCTGTCAACCGTTTCCTTGCTCTATAACTCTGTTCTTTTTTTTTCCTAGTAACTCCCAACTTAATAGTGGTTGCTTGCAGCCTTGTTGGGAGTGAATGCAAATAAAAAAAAAAAAAAAAAAAAAAAAAAAGCTTTTCTTTTTTAATTTTTTTTAAATAAGTTTGTTTTTTTAATATCTTTAAATTATTTATAAAAGTTTTCAGCGCTTTATTAAAATGTTAAAATGTGGTCAAATCATCAAAACAAAATAATATTTGCGTGGTCATATAAAACCATGAAATCGCACACCTTTCTGACCAAGCCTGCTGTAGCTAAATACCATGTAACTGAAAACCTTGTAATTTACCAATATTTTTAAAATTGTAGCAAAATAAAACTATAGTAAAAGACTAATAGAAAATACCAAAAATGAAAAAAATTTACCCTGTAGCATCTGCATTTATATAAGATAACTAGAATTATAGTCATAACAAGAATCACTCCAATAACTATAAGGGAATTTGCTAAGGCTTGACCAAACTTTTCAGCATGAGATATATTTCCCTCTTCATGAAATGGAGTGTAAACTCTAAAATTGAAATGGAGTTTAAACATTATTATAAAGTAGAGAATGAATTTTATTGGTAATAAAAATTATTCTTATGACTAACTCTTAAGATAAAAAGAAATTTTATCTTAAGAGTTTTAATCTTTTAACCTATAAACCATAGTTTTACATTAGTTCGAGATTTTTTAAAAAAGAAAGTTGTTTCTTTTTAAGAAACTAAAACAAATGCATGTGACCAAGTCTTTAAAAATGTATATACAAACAACTATAAAAAATAGCTTGTTCTTACATTTACTATATAATTGTAATTATGGAGAAAATATTTTAATAGGCATGTTTATATATTTTTGCTTTTATATCCTCCGATAATGTTATTGTTATATATAATTTTTATATAAATTTTTAAATATTGTTAGATTTTATAACTTTATTTTATATTTGAATAATTGTTTAAATTGCACAAATATATATAACTTTATGCACGTATTTATATACTTTTAAATATTAAACTAAAAATAATAAACCATAAATAACTTCTTACAAGTTATAGGTGGGTAGATTTTAACTAAACTTTAAATTTTTAATTATCTATTATAATTAATAAGTTTAAAAATTTAGTGAATGTTTATTTTAAATACTAAAAATCTAAAAGTATATTTAAATGTAAAATAAATATTATATATCATAGTTAACAATTTAGTTGCACTAAACAAAATCAACTTTACTCTATAATTATTAAAAAAAGGTAATTTAACATCTCAAGTGGCTATAAAATATTAGTCCAACTTAATAGTTTCAATAGAAACAATATACAAATACTGCATACAAGTGTTTAATTTTATATGTGTATTATGCATATGACCTGAATACAAAGTATTAGGAAATAAGACTAGAACACTAACTGTTTAAGAACACCAAATAAAAAAGCTATTTTAAAAAGTGCAAACACTTAAAAGATGCCGAGCAGTTTTTCTTTTTTTTTAATCATTAAGGTGCCAGAGCATAAGCTTTCCCAGATTGCCTTAGCAATTTAATAAGGCATTTATTTTGAATGTGTTGTTCTAATTTTAAAATAAATTATGCAATTTAAAACAAAAAAATATTCTAAACTAAATACAACGCTTGTGTACTTACAAATAAGTCCCTGCATTTTGTGTATAATATGTAACAGAAGAGATTGTAGCCACAACAACTAGTAAACAAATGGAGACAGGTATTATTAGCATCAGCACACTTTTAGCACCATACTGTAACATTTCTTCATGGTCATCATCCTCACTTTCAACAACGTTCATAGATCTTTGTTCCAGCGGTTGCGGAGGTTGAACTGTTGATCTTCCCTCATTATTAGTTCTTACATTTCGAAATCTTGCTAACAAATTAAACCGCTGTGAATAAATAAATGAATATATATATATATATACATATATATATATACATATATATATATATATATATATATATATATATATATATATATATATATATATATATATATTTATATATATGTATATATATATATATATATATATATATATATATATATATATGTATATATATATATATATATATATATATATATATATATATATATATATATATATATATATATATATATATATATATAAATTAACAAAAACTGAAAATAACACTTTTTTTTGTTTGCCTAAAATATTAAAATAGGTTAAATTTAAAACAATGTAAATTTTACCGATACATTTCTTTCTTGATTTGATATAACTCTTTCGACTTCGTCATTATGAGGCATATTTTCAGATTCACAGTCAGAAGAAGCTTCTTTGTCTAACAAGTTTGTGTATTCTGTAACATTGTGTTTACCATCTACTGCACTCATTTAAGAAACATTTAAATAGTTACAATAGTGTTTTACATTAAAAGCTAATTGCTTGATAATAAATAAATATTTCCTCTAATGAAAAAACAAATAATATTAGTAAATTAGTAACTCTAGCATAATTATTTAAAACCAAATTTTAAGGTTATCGTAGACTTTAATCTACGCTTCAAAATAAAAATAAAAAAAATTTGAAAACGAGGCGATGTAAACAGATACAATCGACGTAAAAGTTTTTGAGTTTAAGATGGTAAGTTTAGCGATACCTCTTCAAATGTTTGTTAACAAACATTTGAGATTTTGTTAATATTTGAGATTGGTTAACAAACATTTGAGAAGTTTAGAAATGCTTTCTCAAATGTTTTTTAACAAAGGTATCGCTAAACTACGTATTAAATTATCAAATAGAATAAAAAAACGAATAAAATTATTAAGGTTAGTGAATTTTTGTTTATTTATCTTTCAAAAGAAAAAATTAAAAACAGAACTTCGTAAACAAAAAAAAAAAAATTGCTAAAATACCTTCTTGAGTTCAGCAATCATTAAAATACATTAATCGCGAAAATATCAGTTTATATCGTTGATAAATAAAAACTTCATGCCTAAATGTAAAATCTTTTTTATTAAACGCGTATTTAAAAAAATTATTAACATGTCCACAATGGTGGTCAGTAGGTGGACAAAATGAGAAAAATTTAGTTTTCTAATCTTGAAAACTTCTTTAATTTTAGTATCTACATATATTAGGAAAAATTTATTGATAACTTATTTATATTAAATCCCTTAGTTACCAGGACTCTAAGCATTTGAATATTGAAATTAAAAAAAAAAAAAAATGTAATAAATAGTTTATTGTGTTATATTTCAATCACATCTTCGTTTTTGAAACAAATAATTAGTACATGCTATTCTAGAGTATTTAGAGATAAGAAAAACCAATGTGTGAAATAAGTATGTCATAGCATGTTATCTCAGTTATACTTTGAAAATGTTTTAATTGATTGCTCGTCCTCTTAAATCCCCGTTCAGATTTTATATATGTTTTTACTTAGTTGTTATGGTGCTGAATTTTGTATAGCAACAGCTCATTTTTACATTAACGTTGTTTTAACAGTATTTTATCTGCGCTAAGTACACAATATTGGAAGTATAATTAAATTAAAACTTCTATTATGGATGTAACTCTTTATTAATTTTTATACAATGTTTCAAGGGATTATTGATACCCTCGTTGTCAAGTATATAAATATATATACTGGGAGTATAAATATATATATTGGGAGTATGTACTAAATATATATACTGGGAGTATAAATATATATATTGGGAGTATGTACTAAAATGAGATTTACAATTCTTATGAGTTTTTTTTTTTTGGTTGCTATGGCTACCTTACTAAACAACATATTTTTGGTAGTTGTCAGTAATTTAATTTCCAACACTAACAGTAATTTAATTACTTTTAATTTTAATTACTAACACTTGTAGTAACTTAATTACTAACACGAATTAGTAGTGTACGCCGCATATATATTATAACATTAAACTTTTAAATACAAAATATTTATTATAAGAATTATTTAGATATGGCTTTATTAAACTTAGACATTCATAGTTTTCTCTAAAAAAACAATCTTAGTATTTCAAAACAAAATACTACTGATGATATATTGAAATTTATTCAGCCAAAATTTGCTGAATTTAAAGACGTTGATATTAGACATGATGTTCAACAACTTGTTTACTTGTATAAAAAAAAAGTTGAAAATCTGCCAACTATACTGTTAAAAATTTTGAAAAGAAGTTTGTAAATTGGCTTAATAAATATTTAATTGTCAGAAAAAATAACAACAAATCAACTGCAAGTAAACGTGGTCGAAAACCAGTTGCATTTGATAGTAGCTCTAATAAAACTTATTGAATCCTATTCATCCAGTGAATTATTTTTTGCTGCTAGTAAAAAATTTAGAGATGTATTTACTGTTAGTGCTTCCAAGAACTTTTTAAATTCTTCAAATACAGATAAGCAACTATATATTCAGCAGATGAAGCACTGGCTTTATATTATTGATGCCAGTCTGACAAAAGCTTCCTATCAATTGATTAGAAGCGGAGCCTTGGAGAAAGAATATATACCCTCTACCCCGCTTACAATGATGTCAGAGATGCAAAATTGAAATGTTATCCTGCAAATATAACAGTGGTGGACTATTCAGCTTCGGTTCCTTTAAAAGATTTAATGATTCATACTTTGCAAAGAATCTGTGCAGTTCAGGAACCTGTTCTGAGGTACTTGAAAATTAACGACAAAGCAATAAAAACAATGACACTTACGTGTAAGACTGGTTTTGATGGTGCTACTGACCACAGCATTTATAAACAAGTTTTATCAGAACCTTACATGAATAGAGATTTTAAGTGTGAAGAATTATTATTTATAACTTGTCTAGCTTGATTGGATTTAACTGGATTTAACAACAACGAAAAGTTGCCTATTTTGAGAAATCAAAAGTCTTCATCCAGAGCCTATTGTAGACCCATAAGATTTGCTTGCAAAACGGAATCCAAGGAATCTGTGATCGAAGAAAATCAGTACATTAAAAGTGAGATAGAAAGCATCGGTATAATTTTATGAGAGGTTTGCGGTTCTTTTATTGAAGTGAATTATGTTATTAAATTTACAATGATTAATGGGAAAGTTTAAGCGATATTATCTTAAAAAACTCATACCAATGCTGTTCAGTGTGTGGTGTCTCTCCGAAAAATATGAATAGTCTTGATTTCTTTAATATAGATTATACATTTGTATATAAATTATATAAATTTGTATTTAAATTTTTCATAACCAATACAAAACTAAAAAGTTAAAGTTAAAGAACATTAAGAACTATTATTTTTATTTATAAAATCTTAAGAAAGTGCTTTATATTATATTGTGTTACGTTTTTTTTTTAATTTATTACGCTATTTTAAATTTACGGTATAGATTAAGGGGCTTGGTGGTAAGACAAATTATGTCTTCTTCTTGCCCCTGCTATTTGTATATATGTTATGCTTTACGACTTGAATAAATTTATATGGTAAAAAAAAAAAACAGAGAGTTCAAATATGGTCTTTCCATTCTTCATGCATGGATTCAATTTTTTGAGATGATTTTGCACATTGTATACAAAAAAGAAACAAAAAAGTGGCAAGCAAGATCTAAAGAACACTAAGAAAAGACATTTTACCTAAACAAAAGATTCAGACTGATTTTATGAACAAAATGGGACTTGTTGTTGATTTCCCTAAAAGTGGTAGTTCTGGAACTAGCATTGATCTTTCCATTACGACTTACGATATGGAAAGGAATTAAGGAAATCATAAACATCAAACCTTTTACTTCTACTAAGTTTTTACGTCTGCGTAAATCAACATCACACCGAACAAATCATAAAGCATTTCTTTCAGATATTTTACAATTACTTAAACAATCTTTAATCGATATTATTGTTTTATAATTTTTTAATGTAATTTAAAATTGACAATACTTTCTTGCACTATTTTTTTGTTTTTATTATAGCAAAAACATCATTAACCTAAAAAATCAATTGTTTTTCATTATAGGTGGGTCGAAAATCCGATAGAATATTCAAATATCAACTTACATCTTTGTAACTAAGAAAAGTATCTGGTAACTAAGCAATATAAGAACCATAGCAACTAAATTAAAAAAATTATCACTTTTATAATAAGTATGATCTCATATTGGTACTCATGCTAAATTTAGGAAATATAGCACTCATAAAAAATCTGCAGATAACAAAAATAGGTTATTGCTAAGCAAAATAAAGGCATCCATATAAATACAACGAAATAAAAAAATATATCTTCATAAAAAGCGCAGACATCATATAAGTGCTCATGCTAATTTTAGTGAATATAGCTCCAATATTAAATTAGTTATGAATTTTGTCCAGTAAAACTGAATTCTAGCCCACTGTGCAGTGATGAAATTATGAAAGTTTTTTACTTATGTAAAAAATTTTTCTAAGTAGGCCATTCTATAGGGGAGACCGGGGAAATGCCAACACACAGGGCAAATCCGACTTCCTGCTCTGTAGTTGTATTTTTGTGAGTAAAGCGCTGTTGTATAGTGCTGCTACCTGGCGGACAACACTAAAACTAACACTCAGTGAGTTTTATGCGAGTACGCCTACTGCTTGTTTTGCTATAAATAAATAACTAGTTTTTGAAGTTTTCCGTGTTAAAACTGACTCCTGAATAAACTGAGGTAAGATTCTAATTGTTAGTATTACTAAAAAACTACTTAGTTAGTTAGAAAATACATATTTTTACCAACATTTCGGCATAGCCGTTTTAGGATTTGGAGCTAGCATTAGTTTTAAGGTTAGGTTTCCGCCATCTTGGTCCACCGGGATAACGCCGACACGCCACCACGGGGCAATACCGACACGTGTTGGTATTGCCCCATTATTTATAAAATATTTAAGGTAGTCCTATACTAGAATAAATAGAAAAATTAATTTTTTCAAAAATTAGAAATTCTGAAATTTCAGACATTCTACATTCCGCATATATACAAATCATTATAATAAATTATATTTCAAATACTCTAAAATTGTAAGTTTTGTAACAAAGTTATAAATTTTCCTAAGCAACACCCCCTAGCAACGGATTTTTATATTAAAAAAAAGCTATTTAAGAGTTTTTCGCCATTATACACGAGATTTATGACACTATTACAAACATTTTGAGCTAGTAACTGTTTCCTATTTGCTTAACATAAGAAAATAATAAATTGCAAGAACAATTTGCATGTTTACAATTATTACTTATCGAAAAGGTATTACCTCAAAGTGGTGTCGCAATTACCCCGGTGGCTGGGGAAATACCGACACTGTGCTTAAATTATGAAAAACATTCATGTAACATTTGTAATGTAAATAATTTTAAAACATTATATATTGATTTGATGCAGAAAATTAGGACAAATCTTTAGGTACTTCCACCAAAATTGTAACTAACCTAGAAAAAATTATAAAAATTAAATTGTATTAGGGTGTCAGCATTCCCAATGTCTACCCTACTTTGTAAACTTTGCAA